AACATACCCTTACCCAGGGTCGGCCTGGGTGAAAACGGCCGTCCACTGGATAGGGCGCTTGCCACTGCGCCCGATCAGCCTGCCGCGAGCGCGCTGTTTCAGCATTTGCGCGTCAGGACGCAGCGACGCGCTGAACGGCTGGTTGTTTGATTGCAGAGACATGCCCTGGTTTGCGTCAGGGACGTCTGGGGGCATCGGGGGTGTCCGCGGGGTTTAGAACAGCATTGGAGTGGTGGTGCCGGTGGTGCCTGGGGACAGGCACCACAACTCCGTTGCGTTTGGGCCTGCCCGCAGGAGCGTCGTTGCAATTTCGCGTTCACCCGGGGGCCGGTGCGGCCGCGTTCGGCAGCGCTCTCGGCGGCCGCGCGTGCGCCTGAGAGCGATTTCGACCAAACGCCACCACCTCGACTAAGTGCGGGTACGTGTCCGGGGGCACCATCAACGCGCGTCGGCGATTGTGCCCCCCGACACGTACCCGGACCTAGCTGGGGTGACGCCAGGCGGGTTTTTCAGGGAGCAGCCCCTGGCCACCGCGCCTAGCGTTCGTAGCCCCAGGCGTTTGGGGCGAGCGCGGGATTGCAGCGGCGCCCGCCCAGGACACCCAGGACGCATTTTGCACGTCGAGCCCCAAACGCTCGATTGTGCGCCTTCGTGGGCGCGCCTCCGAACGAGCTATTCTAGCTCGAGAGCGACTCTGCCGATTGGAACGCGCGTGCCTTCGGTGCTAGCGGATGCCAGGGGAAGACTGTGTCCTGTAATGTTCCATGGGCCATCGCATCTGCACTCGTGCAACCGCCGTCGGCTGCGGCGTGTCGCCCCCCCCGCCCCTTGCCACCCCAACTGGGTAAGGGTACGGGTATCTTTCGCGCTCGAGCATTCACTCACAGACAGAAAGGGTTCCCGCCTGATACTTCTCAAGTACTCAGGCCTCAGGAGCCCAAGCGTGACGACAGTTACAAGGGTCCTGAATCCCGATCGAATTTGTAACATGATTTGCATCATCATCATCATCATCATCATCGTCAGCAGCATCATCATCATCAGCACTAGCACCACCACCAGCGCCGTCAGCATCAGCGTCATCATCATCATCATCATCAGCAGCAGCAGGAGCAGCATCAGCATCATCATCATCATCGTCATCAGCAGCATCATTACCATCATCATCATCATCATCATCATCATCAGCAGCATCAGCAGCAGCATCAGCACCACCTCGACTAAGTGCGGGTACGTGTCCGGGGGCACCATCAACGCGCGTCGGCGATTGTGCCCCCCGACACGTACCCGGACCTAGCTGGGGTGACGCCAGGCGGGTTTTCCAGGGAGCAGCCCCTGGCCACCGCGCCTAGCGTTCGTAGCCCCAGGCGTTTGGGGCGAGCGCGGGATTGCAGCGGCGCCCGCCCAGGACACCCAGGACGCATTTTGCACGTCGAGCCCCAAACGCTCGATTGTGCGCCTTCGTGGGCGCGCCTCCGAACGAGCTATTCTAGCTCGAGAGCGACTCTGCCGATTGGAACGCGCGTGCCTTCGGTGCTAGCGGATGCCAGGGGAAGACTGTGTCCTGTAATGTTCCATGGGCCATCGCATCTGCACTCGTGCAACCGCCGTCGGCTGCGGCGTGTCGCCCCCCCCGCCCCTTGCCACCCCAACTGGGTAAGGGTACGGGTATCTTTCGCGCTCGAGCATCCACTCACAGACAGAAAGGGTTCCCGCCTGATACTTCCCAAGTACTCAGGCCTCAGGAGCCCAAGCGTGACGACAGTTACAAGGGTCCTGAATCCCGATCGAATTTGTAACATGATTTGCGGGCCACATTGGGAAGAGGCTCCCCCGGAGATTTCCTCGCAATTCAGTCACAGACTTGGCTCCCGCCTGACACTTCCCCAACATGCAGGCCTCACGAGCCCAAAAAATAACAACAGTTACAGGGTTCCGATGACCCGCTCGGATTGGTAACGTGATCTGCGGACCCCATGAAGACGGGGTTTGAGCTTGAGACGTCCTCGCCATTCACTCACAGACAAGGCTCCCTCACGAGCCCAAACGCGACGAGAGTTACAGCGGTCCGATGACCCGTTCGGATTAGTAACTTGAGTTGCGGGCCTCCCGCTTGAGATTTCCTCGCAATTCACTCACAGACGAGCTCCCGCCTGAGTTGTCCGCCATCCTCAAGCTTGCAGAAGCGAAAAGTGACGACAGGTACAGGGTTCCAATGACCCGCTCGGATTAGTGACGTGAGCCGCGGGCCCCTAGGGAAGGGGCTGCCGCTTGAGACGTCCTCGCCAGTCACTGACAGACGAGGTTCCCGCTCGACACTCCCACCATATTCAGGCCTCAGGAGCCCAAAAGTGACGACAGGTACAGGGTTCCGATGACCCGCTCGGATTAGTAACGTGAGCTGCGGGCCCCATTGGGGGGGGGGGGTCCCGCCTGAGGTTTCCTCGCCATTCCCTCGCAGACGAAGCTCCCGCGTGAGATGAGTGAGTGAGTGGGTGACCGAGTGAAGATGGTTATGATAATGTTGATGATGATGATGACGATGACGATGATGATGATGATGATGATGATGATGATGATGATGATGATGATGATGACGATGGTGATGATGATACTGATGATGCGGATGATGACGATGATGAGAGTGTGAGCGAGTGAGTGAGTGAGTGAGTGAGTGAGTGAGTGAGTGAGTGAGTGAGTGAGTGAGTGGGCGGGTAGGATGTGAGTGAATGGGTGAGTGCGTGAGTGAGTGACGATGATGAGTGTGTGTGTGTGTGAGTGTGTGTGTGTGAGTGGGTGAGTTGCTGGGTGAGTGAGTGAGTTTGAGTGATGATGTGTGTGAATGATTGAGTGAATGAATGTGCGATTAGAGAAGAGGATGTGTTCTCTTGTTCCTGCGCGGGGTGTCTAGAGAACACAAGAACCCCACTTTGGATGTGGGGAACAAGAACCCCACTTTGGATGTGGGAAACATCGAATCTTGGGGTAAACCAGTTCTGTGGTAGATCCCCCACTCGAGCCCCTGGCCGAATCTCAGGGCCAACTTCAGGAGAGGATTCGCCCAGGGGGGGGGGAAAGTCATCGGCCCGGAGGAGCCGCCCGTGCCTCGCCGAGCGGGACCCGGGTGCCCCAGGGGGACCCCCGCGGGAGCGTGGGGGACCCCCTCGTGGGCCTACCTCTCGCCGATCTGTCGGCGGCGAGGTATCGCCGAGTCCGGGCCATTGCTTCCCCATCTGAGTCGGTCCCTCCTCCTCCGCCTCCTCCTCCCCCTACTCCTCCTCCTCCTCCTCCTCCTCCTCCTCCTCCTCCTCCTCCTCCTCCTCCTCCTCCGCCTCCTGCTCCCCCTCCTCCTCCTCCTCCTCCTCCTCCTCCTCCTCCTCCTCCTCCTCCTCGTCCTCCTCCTCCTCCTCCTCCTCCTCCTCCTTTCGGCTCCCCGCGCAATCTCGAAGGCCTACCTCTCGCCGATCTGTCGGCGAGCTATCGCCGAGTCCGGGTCATGGCTTCCCCGCCTGAGTCAGTCTCCCTCCTTTTCGACGGTCCTCAGGACGTGTGTTAGCCCAGTGTGTGCTTGCCCCCTGCAGCCCCACCAGTGGATCATTGCGTCGCCTGCGTCCTAAATTGAACGGTCTCGATGGACAAGTACACGTTGGCGCTAACACACGTTCTGAGGATCGTCGACCTCGGGGCTCCCCTCGCAATTTCGAAGGCGCTGACATAAAGACTGCTCTGGGCTTCAGGAGGGGCTCGTGCTTTGGGCCGCTCCCCAGATGATTCATGTCGTGGAACTTGTTTGTGGCCTGTGCCCGCCGCGGCCAGAGAAGCTCTTCGTTCCTTGCAGCCGGACCGAGGTGTAGGATCGAGGTCGGCTCGGGGAGGGTAACCTAGTGTTCTTGGTGTTTGTTGGATGTTCTTACGCACCCTGGGGAGGGTACCTGTGGATGTTCTGTGCGTTTTGGCCGGCGGAGGGTCTCATGTTCTTATAGGATATTAGTTTGACCTAAGACCGGCTCTATAATGCGTGCGGTATGGCCGCACGATGACTGTACACTTTCGGAGGCCCGCGCGGATCTCTTGGATCGGCGTTTGGCCCCTCTAACGGCTCCTCCGTCTTCGCCCCCAGCGCGGTCCGCGCCGTTCCAAGACACCCGCGCGTAACTCCGAAAGTTCGTGCTTACAGTCGGACCTATGCCAGAATGACATCCTTCAATCAAGAGCATGAGACCATCCGCCGGCCAGAACACAGAACGTCCAAGAAGACTCTCCCATGGATGCACAAAAACATGCAACAATCATGAAAAACATCAGGGTGCCATCCTCCCCGAACCGACCTCGATCTTATACCTGGTCCTCCTGTGTTCACCACCCACCAAGCCAGTCCAACCAACCCGAAGGCCCCAATCTGCCATCCATTCCCAGGGGGCTGGGCGTCGGAGAACATCGACTAAGCTCATGTGGAACTCGTGTTCCCCCCAAAAAACCGCAGTCTGGGTCTTCGGGTCAGGTGGGGGTGGTCTGGCAGGTAGCCACTTGCGCAGCTCTTCCTTCTTTTGCCGTCCCCCGCTCTTTCCGCCCCCGCTCGCGCGTCCTCCGTCCCTCTCGTCGCTGGCTCCTCCCTCCCCTCTCCTCTATTCTCCTCGGCCTCTCGTCCCCGCTCGTCGCGCGCTCCTCCCTGACATCGTGCGCCCACCCTCCCTCCCAGCGGTCCCTGACCGTCTTTGCCTGCCCATCGGCTGCCGCAGGCGGGCCCGCCTGCCTGCACGCAGCCCGCCGCCCTCACCCGAATCTGGGGCCCGTTTCTGACCGCCTGGGGCGCGCTCGCGCTCGAGCCTCGCCCAGGGCCGCCGCCGCCGCGTCCTCCTCCTCCTCCTCCTCCTCCTCCTCCTCCTCAGCCTCCTCCTCCTCCTCCTCCTCCTCCTCCTCCTCCTCCTTCTCCTCCTTCTCCTCCTCCTCCTCCTCCTCCTCCTCCTCCTCCGCCCAGGGCCTCCGCCCCCCCGTCGAAGGCACCGCCGCCCGCCGCCCCTGCCAAGGCGCCGCCGCCCGCCGCCCCCGGCGGAGGGGCCGACGCCGCCGGGGAGGGCGGCGCCCGAGGCGGGGCCCTCGGCAGCTCGGCCGGGGGCCGCGGGGGGCGCCAGGCTGCTCAGGGGGAGGAGGAGGAGGAGGAGGAGGAGGAGGAGGAGGAGGAGGAGGAGAGGAGGAGGAGGGAGGAGGAGGAGGAGGAGGAGGAGGAGGGAGGGGAGAGGAGGAGGAGGAGGAGGAGAGGGGGGGGGAGGGGGGAGGAGGAGGAGGAGGAGAGAGGAGGAGGAGGAGGAGGAGGAGGAGGAGGAGGAGGAGGAGGAGGGAGGAGGAGGCGGAGGAGGAGGAGGGAGGAGGGGAGGAGGGAGGAGGAGGAGGAGGAGGAGGAGGAGGAGGAGGAGGAGGAGGAGGAGGAGGAAGGAGGAGGAGGAGGAGGAGGAGGAGGAGGAGGAGGAGGAGGAGGAGGAGGAGGAGGAGGAGGAGGAGGAGGAGGAGGAGGAGGAGGAGGAGGAGGAGGAGGAGGAGGAGGAGAGGGGGGAGGGGAAGCGACCGAGGCGTTCAGACTCAGGAGGATAAAAAACACGCAGACACAATTCATCGTCGATTCCCTCGGAAAATATGGGGAAAGATGGGCAGTGTGGGGGGAAGACAGAAGCCCCCAACATATGTGAAGGTATGGGGGATCCTTTCATTTGTGTGTATTTATTAGTGTGTCCCAGGGCCCCGTCACAGACAGCCGTCGAGGCGGGAAGACGGCCTCCTGGGGTCTGGGACGGCCCAAGAGGCGTTCCCTCGGGCCTTGGAGCACAAATAGCGAAAACTCATGCCGCCATTCATCGGTCAACGCCTCCCCCCAATGTTCAAAGCTGGGGGAGGGGAAGCGACCGAGGCGGTCAGACTCAGGAGGAGAAAAAACACGCAGTCACAATTCATCGTCGATTCCCCCGGAAAATATGGGGAAAGATGGGCAGTGTGGGGGGGGAAGACAGAAACCCCCAACATATGGGAAAGTATGGGGGATCCTTTCATTTGTGTGTATTTATTTGTGTGTCCCAGGGCCCCGTCACAGACAGCCGTCGAGGCGGGAAGACGGCCTCCTGGGGTCTGGGACGGCCCAAGAGGCGTTCCCTCGGGCCTTGGAGCACAAATAGCGAAAACTCATGCCACATTCATCGGTCAACGCCTCCCCCTCCCCCCAGCGTTCAAAGCTGGCGGTGGGCCTGATCAGTTGCACTTCGACCGCAGTCTCCTCCGCGCGTGCCAACTTTGAATTTGGGGGAAGGGGGGAGTGTCCATTAACTATATGTTTCCCTCTACCGTTTCAAGCTGCCCGAGAAGGCCCAAGAAGAAGGCTACAAGAGGACCCCGAAGAGGACCCCGAGAGGCCAACACACGAGATCTTCCCCATGTTTCTGAAGGATTCTGGCATTCGCGCTGTTGCAGGGTTCCAAGTCGCAACGACGACATGAGGCCCTCGCCGCCACGGCTGGATTCGCAGTGACGTGCTGGTCAAGACTCACCCCGGGCGAGGTCCGTGGAGCAGCGGTATAAGTACCTCTTGGTTTCGGCAGGACGCTGACATGGGGCTCCGCCGACCTGCGGCGCTGCAGAGATGGGGCCCTGGGGACGGTTCGTGGCGTGTCGCCGTGGCCGCGGCGCCGGCGTAGGCGTTCAAGGTTGAACGCCGGCAGTGGCACGGATTCGGCCAATATGGAACGGTCAGGCGATCGAGAAAAAAGCCCGCGATCATTCAAGGTTGAGAGGTCCACGCGGTGTCAGAAACCAAAGCGCCAGAGTCACTACATGGTTCGCTGTGTGTGATGATTATGTTTCAATGGGCTTCGTTCCCAACCATCCTGTGGTGTTGGGTCCTCGCTTTGAAGAGAGGGTCCCCGTGTCCCTCCTCCCTCCTTCCTCGCCCTTCCCCCTCCTCTTTCCTCCCTGCGTTTCGTGGCCCCGTAGGGAGCTCCACCGAAGCCCCCAGTGGGACCGTCTGCGTGCGTCCCGGCAGCCCAATTTGGCAAATTCTCATATCCAGTACAGCGTTTCGTGGCCCCACAGGGAGCTCCACCGAAGTCCCCAGGGGGATCGCCCGCATGCGTCCCAAATAAGTTTTCGGCATGGTCACCCACCCAGAAGAGCGTTTCGTGGCCCATAGGGAGCTCCATGGAAGCCCCCATGGGGATCGTCCGCATGCGTCCCGGAAACAAAATTCTTTACGCTTCGCGTATCCCCACCAGCCCATCTCACAGCAGCAACTCTTGCGAAGCATGCCGACAGTCGTGCTTTTCAGGCGTGTGTCCGCTTGGCCCCGCATATCTCCCCTGTCCCTCCTTCCTCCCGCCTCCTTGCACATCCTCCTTGTGGGGAGAGCGGGAGAAAAACGAGGCGGAGGAGGAGGCAGAGAAAGCGCTCCTCATAATTTGAGTCGTTTAGGGTTTCTCGTCCTGGTGTGAGTCGTTCGGGCCCTTCTTCCTGGTGTGAGTCGTTCGGGCTCTTCGTGGTGTGAGTCGTTCGGGCTCGTCGTCCTGGTGTGAGTCGTTCGGGCTTCTCGTGGTGTGAGTTGTTCGGGCCCCTCATCCTGGTGTGAGTCGTTCGGGCCCCTCCTCCTGGTGTGACTCGTTCGGGCTCCTCGTGGTGTGAGTCGTTCGGGGCCCGCGTCGTGGTGTGAGTCGTTCGGGCTCCTCGTGGTGTGAGTCGTTCGGGCGCCTCGTCCTGGTGTGAGTCGTTCGGGCCCCTCCTTGTGGTGTGAGTCGTTCGGGCCCCTCGTCCTGGTCCTGTGAGTCGTTCGGGCTCCTCGTGGGGCCTCTTGGGGGCCTCTTGGAGCCTCTTGGGGGCCTCTTGGGGGCCTCTTGGGGGGCTCTTGGGGCCTCTTTGGGGGGGGCCTCCTGGGGCCTCTTGGGGGGCCTCTTGGGGCCTCTTGGGGGCCTCTTGGGGGCCTCTTGGAGGCCTCTTGGGAGCCTCCTGGGGGCCTCTTGGGGCCATCTTGGGGCCTCTTGCGACCTCCTCAGAAGCGCCAATGAGAGCTGCCCCCTGAGAAGAACAAAATGAGCCCAAAACCTTCGTAAAAGCAATGATTTTGCTATGAAGGAAGATGAGCGCGGCCCCCTCAGAACGCCAAAATGGGGCCGAAACCGTCGTAAAATCAATGTTTTTGGCTTGAAAGAAGAGCAGAGGGGCCAAACTGGGCCCCCCCGTCGGGGCCAGAATCCTCGTGAGGGTCGTCGTTTTTTAGCCCTCCAAGGAGTCAAAAAAGACCCCCCTGACGACGCTCGGCCCGCCCTCTCCAGGCCCAGGGGGAGGGGGTAGGGGGAGGGGTAAACCCCTCCCCGAAGGGGAAGAAGGGGGGTTGAGAACAGAGAGAGAGAGCTCGCTAAACCACTCACGCCCAAAGGGCTGGTGGGATTTGGAACACCCCTCATACGTTTCGCGACCCCATAGGGAACTGTACCGAAGCCACGGATGGGACCGCCCGCATGCGTCCCACACACCTAGTGCAGCGCTTCGTGGCCCCATAGGGAGCTTCACCGAAGAATATATTCACAATTGCGGTACGCACAACTGCGCATGGTTGGGTTCATTTTTTGTTTTTCCCAAACATCCTGTGGTCTGTGGTGTTAGGTCCTCGGTTTGAAAAGACATTCCGCGCGTTCCTCCCTCCCTCCTTCCTTCCTCCCCTTCCTTTCCTTCCTCCCTCCTCCCTGCGCTTCACCCACCCAGCGCCATAGAGAGCTCCACCGAAGCCCCCAGCGTTTCCATCCACATGCGCCCTGGAAGCCAAGTTTGAATCCCACCCACCCAGTACAGCGCTTAGTGGCCCCATAGGGAGCTCCACCGACGCCCCCAGTGGGACCGTCCGCATGCGCCCCGAAAGCCCAATTTGGCATTTTCACCACCCCAGTAAAGCGTTTCGTGGCCCCATAGGGAGCTCCACCGAAGCCCCCAGTGGGACCATCTTCACCCAGCCAGTACAGCGCTTCGTGGCCCCATAGAGAGCTCCACCGAAGGCCACAGTGGGACCGTCCGCATGCGCCCGGGAAACCAAATTTGACAATTTCACCCACCCACTCCGGTGCTTCGTGGCCCCATGGGGAGCTCCACCGAAACCCCCCATGCAGGGGGACCGTCCGCATGCGTCCCGGAAGCCCAATCTGGCATTTTTCCCGTCCCGCAATGCGTCCCGGAAGTCCACTCACCCAGTACAGCGTTTCGCGGCCCCACAGGGAGCTCCACCGAAGTCCCCAGTGGAACTGCCTGCATGCGTCCCGAAAAGTCAACTTGGCATCTTCATCCACCCAGCAGAGCGCTTCGTGGCCCCATAGGGAGCTCCACCGAAACCCCCAGTGGGACCGTCTGCATGCGTTCCGCAATTTGGCATCTTCACCCACCCAGTACTGGCGTCTCGTGGCCCCATACGGAGCTAGCTCCACCGAAGCCCCAAGGGGGGGGATCGTTCGCACGCGTCCCAGAAGCCCAATTTGGCACTTTCACCCACCCATTACAGCGTTTCGTGACCCCATTGGGAGCCCCACCGAAGCCCCCAGTGGGACCGCCCGCATGCGCCCCACACATTCAATTTGGCATCTTCAACCACCCACCAAGGCTCCACTGCTACCATCCGCATGCGTCCCGAAAATCCAATTTGACAGTTTCACCCACCCAGTACAGCGCTTCGTGGCCCCATAGGGAACTCCACTGAAGCCCCCAGTGGGACCGCCCGCATGCGTCCCGGAAGCGCAATGTGGCATCTTCACCCACCCAGTACTGCGCTTCGTGGCCCCATAGTGGGCTTCACCGAAGCCCCAGTGGGACCGCCCGCATGCGCCCCACACACCCAATTTGGCACGTTCACCCTGCGAGTACAGCGTTTCGTGGCCCCACAGGGAGCTCCACCGAAGCCCCCAGTGGGACCGCCCACATGCGTCCCACACACCCAATTTGGCATCTTCACTCACCCAATACAGTGTCTCGTGGCCCCATAGGGAGCTCCATCGACGGTTCCAGTGCTACGTGCCCTCACAGGGAGTTTCACCGAAGAAAGATTCACAATTGGGGTACGCACAACTGCATATTTTTGAGTCCTTCGCCATGATCATTCATTGTTGTTTTTGTCTTTCGCCTGGGTCGCCGAAACTTGTTGGGCCGCCGCACAGGTATTCCTGTTGTGTCTGTTTCACGACAAGACAAGGATCCTTGTGTGGCGGCGTTACAGAATGAATGCTTAACCTTTACACGTCTTCTATTGTGGTCCCCGCCTCCTTTTCACTCGCCGGTGAATAGGACTGGTCCTCAAACCTTCTCCTTCTCCCCCCTCCCCCCCTCGTCCTTATCCTCCTCCTCTTCCTCCTCGTTCTCCTCCGCCTGCTCCTCTTCGTAGTAGTCGTAGTAGTAGTAGTAGTAGTAGTAGTAGTAGTAGTAGTAGTAGTAGTAGTAGTAGTAGTAGTAGTAGTAGTAGTAGTAGTAGTAGTAGTAGTAGTAGTAGTAGTAGTAGTAGTAGTAGTAGTAGTAGTAGTAGTAGTAGTAGTAGTAGTAGTCGTAGTAGTAGTAGTCAGTAGTCAGTAGTCAGTAGTCAGTAGTCAGTAGTCAGTAGTAGTAGTATTCGTAGTAGCAGCAGTAGCAGCAGTGGTAGTAGTAGTAGTAGTAGTAGTTAACAGTAGTAGTAGTAGTAGTAGTAGTAGTAGTAGTAGTAGTAGCAGTAGTAGTCGTCGTAGTCGTAGGAGTCGTAGTGGTAGTAGTAGTAGTAGTAGTAGTAGTAGTAGTAGTAGGAGTAGGAGTAGGAGTAGGAGTAGGAGTCGGAGTAGTAGTAGTAGTAGTCGTCGTCGTCGTCGTCGTCGTCGTCGTCGTCGTCGTTCTCGTTGTCGATGTCGTCGTTGTCGTCGACATCGTCGACGTCGCAGTCGCAATCGTTACGCCCCCTGTTGGTTGGACCCCCATCCTTCAATAAGGCCGCCGGAAAAATGAGTTACACCCCATTCGGGGGGGGGGGTCCAGAGACCCTTCGCGATTCTGTGGCGGCCTCGCAACAGGTGTCTTACTGCAGCGAGGTTTTAAACATGATTCCTTGTGTGGCGGTTTTACAACAGGATGTTTGTTCCCAACCATCCTGTGGTGTTGGGTTCTCGTTTTGAAGAGACGGCGCCCCGCGTTCTCCTCCCGCCTCCTTCCTCCCTCCTCCTCCCCCTCCTCCCTGCGTTTCACCCACCCAGTACAGCGCGTCGTGGCCCCATCGGGAGCTCCACCCAAGGCCCCAGTGGTGGTGGCCACATGCGTCCCGGAAACCAAATTTGGCAACCCTCACACGTTTCGTGGCCCCATAGGGAGCTCCACCGCAGGCCCCAGTACCACCGTCCGCATGCGTCCTGAAAACCCAATCTGGCATTTCCACCCACCCAAAACTCGCTTCGTGGCCCCATAGGGACCTCCACCCAAGGCCCAAGCGGAGGTGGCCGCATGCGTCCCGAAAACCAAATTTGGCACACCCCTCAGTATCGATTCGTGGCCCCATAGGGAGCTCCACCGAAGCCCCCAGTGGGACCGTCCGCATGCGCCCCGAACATCTAATTTAGCATTTTCAGATTCAGTACAGCGCTTCGTGGCCCCAGTGCCACCGTCCGCATGTGTCCCGAAAACCAAATTTGGTATTCTCACCCACCCAGTATAGCATTTTGTGGCCCCATTGGGAGCTCCACCGACGGCCCCAGTGCCACCGTCCGCATGCGCCCCGAAAACCCAATTTGGCATCTTCACCCATCCAGTCCAGCGCTTCGTGGTACCATAGAGAGCTCCACCGAAGACCCCAGTGCTACCGTCTGCATGCGTGCCGAACCAAATTTGACAGTTTCACCCACCCAGTACAGCGCTTCGTGGCCCCATAGGGAGCTCCACCGCAGCCTCCAGTGGGACCGCCCGCGTGCGTCCCGAAAATTCAATTTGGCATCTTCACGCACCCAGTACAGCGTTTCGTGGCCCCACAGGGAGCTCCACCGAAGACCCCAGTGCCACCATCCGCATGCGCTTCGAAAACTCAATTTGGTATTTGCACCCTTCCAGTACAGCCGTGGCCCCATAGAGAGCTCCACCGAAGGCTCCAGTGGGACCGCCCGCGTGCGTCCCACACACCCATTCGGCATCTTCACCCACCCAGTACTGCGCTTCGTGGCCCCATAGTGGGCTCCACAGAAGCCTCCAGTGGGACCGCCCGCGTGCCTCCCACACACCCAATGTGGCATTTCCCCCACCCAGTACAGCGTTTCGTGGCCCAATATGGAGTTTCACCGACGGCCCCAGCGGTACCGCACGCATGCGTTTCCCCCCACCCAGTGCAGCGCTTCGTGGCCCCATGGGGAGCTTCACCGAACAAGATATTCACAATCGCGGTGCCCACAACTGCATACGGTTGGGCTCTTTGCCAGGATAATATTGTTGTGGCGATGTTTCAGCTGAATTCCTTTTGCGGCGGCCTTGCAAGACACATGCATGTACAGAGGAAGACGGCAAGACCCGCCCCCCCCTCGAGGAGGAGGAGGAGGAGGAGGAGGAGGATCATCCAGCTTCTTCCTCATCAAGGGGGGGTTGCGGGTTGCACGACATGCGCCCTGGATGAGGCCCGAAGGTGCACTAGAGGTGCGCCGTGTCTCTCCCCCCCGCGCACTGCCCCTCCCCCTTAAGCACTGCCCGAGGAGCTGCCCGGGGTGTTTTGGGCCTTCTCTTCCGGAAGATCGAAGCTGTTACAGAACGAGTGGCGACGAGGACCTGCAGCAGCCCCTGCCCATTCTGAACAAGACTCGCGGTCGGTGTCGCCGCGGGCGTTGTGCATCTCAGACGCAGATGACGCCTGCCCAACAGCGGCCATTGTCTTTTGTTTGGCTTCGGGCCACATTCGCTGTTGGGTGCCGTACCGCTTGTTGTTCGCACCAGTTTCGGGCGTCCAACTCTGAGGGCTCCCTGGTTTTCGGGTAGTGGGGGCCCGTGGCCGCTTTGTGGGCTCCTCGTGCCCTGGATGGCGTTTCCAGATGCGCACGCACAGATTGCGCCAGGTAGATTGAACCCACATACCTTGCTCAAGTCAGCATACAACGCATAGCTTGCACTACATTGGCTGCAAGCTTCAGGTTGCATCACATAGGTTGCACCACGCAGGCTGCGCCACCGACGATATCCTATACAGTGCACCACACAGTTTGCACATCATACATTCGCCTGCACATACTTCATCGCGCAGGGTGCACCACACATTGGCCGCTGATCGAGAGTGCAAGGGTTGACTGCTCGGGGCGCACAACGGCAAACATTATTCGGATGAAGTGCAGCAGCTTGGCGGGTGAAGGGCCGCTCTTTTCCCAAACGGGGCTGTCGCTTGCCTCTGACTCAATTTCTAATGTACCAGCTCCGCACGCACGCACCCTCATCCTTCTCCTTCTCCTCCTCCTCCTCCTCCTCCTCCTCCTTCTCTTCCTGCTCCTCCTTGGAGTGCCGCACGCATGGCGCGACCATGCAGCGCTCGTCTTCCAAGGGGGGCACTCCCCATAGCGAACTGGGAATTATCAACAGGGGCTGACACGGAGGGGACCTTCATATAGGAGTCGTATTTCCCAGACCCCCTCGCGTCGTGAAAAAAACACGACGGGAGGTTTTTGGTCAGTTTCGGCCTCTGGGGGCCCTCGCCAGTCCTCGGGACCGTCAAAAACGCCTCGGGATGAAAAACTGGTCCCAGGGAAGGGGTCCAGGCCTCTGGGACTCTGGGGGTCGACGTTGTGAAAAAGTCACGCCGCCCGGGGTCTGGGTACAGCGCCGTGTGCTGCAACTTCGTTGACGCACCTTCCTCGCTGCAGCTCTACAGCTTTTTGGAGCCAGGATGACTCCCAAGACTGTCCGCATGCCGCGCGAATCATTGTCGTCCTCCGGCTCCTGATCGTCTTGCACCCTCGTCGTCACCATTATTGCCATCGTCTTCTTCGCAGCCATTTTGGTCAAAGCTTCTCGGTTTATAGAGGGGTGGTTCGGGCGCGCCCTGCAGTGACATCAGGTGAGGGCAGTGCGTGAACGGCCCCTGGCTACGTCCGAAGCCGCCAGCGCCGTCTTGCAGCAGCGCCAGGCGGCGACCGGCGCCGCTGCCGACGCGCGTGCGATGGCCGCCTCCGGCGCCGCGGCCAGCCTCCCCGTGGCGGAGGCCGCCCGCTGTGCCGATGCTCGCCCCTCCGCGCTGCGCTCCGAGAAGAGTGGCGACGTGACGCCGGAGACCGTCACCCCGCCCACGCGCTCGGTGATCAGGAGGGGGAAAAACACACAGGCACAATTCATCGTCGATCCCCAATCAGGAGGGGGAAAAACACGCAGACACAATTAATCGTCGATCCCCAGAAAATATGGGAAGTGGCGGGGAAGACGAGAACCCCAACAAGGTGCAAAAACATATGGGGAATCTGTTTATTTGTGTGCACTCATTTGTGTGTCCTGGGGCCCCTTTAGGTGAGCCCGAGCAGCGACAAATGGAAAATACGGGAAGTGGCGGGGAAGACGAAAACCCCAACAAGATGCAAAAACATATGGGGAATCTGTTTATTTGTGTGCACTTCTTTGTGTGTCCTGGGGCCCCTTGAGGTGAGCCCGAGCAGCGACGGCGGAGCTCTCCTGTCGCCGCGCGACGGCAGGCTCGGCGCGGCCGGCGCCTGCCAGGAGGCGGCGGGTGCGGGGCCGGCAGCGCGGCAGGGCGCCGCCGGAGGAGGCCGCCGGGAGGCGCCCGGGGGGGGCCAGCAGGCTGGCGGGAGCACTCCGGCGCCGCAGGAGTCGGCGGCTAGCTCGGGTCGCGGAGGCAGCAATCAGGGGCAACGATGGGGGGGGATAGGCACCGGGGGGGGACGCATCGACCCCGAATCGCCCATGGACCGCCGATAGGGGCCCGATAGCCCCAAGCTGCACAGGAAGGTGCGGATTGCTTATCGGGGGCCTATCGCCGATCTGTCGGCGATGTATCGCCCATTCCAGGTCGATGCATCCCCCCCTATGCCAGTCCCCCCCTATCGTTGCCCCTCAAATAAGAAGCAGTCCAAGGCCAAGGGCAATCGCGGTGGTGTGGCCCATGTCCAAGCTGCGTTCGCTCCGGCTTCTGGCTTCGGCCCGCTGTTTGGAGGAGGTAACTTCTCGGACACGCACTCCACGTCGGACCGGCGGATAATCAAGACCCTGACGGCGCCCGAGGAGATCCACCGAAGGTTGCTGTGGACAGCCCGGCAGGTGCCGACGGCCCTGGAGGGCCCGGAAGACCAGCCGCTGGTAAGCCGCATGCAGCTGTACGGCTCGCTGTCCCTCGACATGACCCAGCCAGAGGTGGCTCAACCCTGGAAGCAGGACTGGGCATCATACTACGTCAATGCGAAATCAGACGTTGATTTTGTGGTTGAAATGAGGCCAGGGGTGTCCGCGGCGGACATCGCGCAGCGGCTAACGCAGAAGGGAAACTGGCGCCTGATAAGCAAAGTTGAGGTCCACAAGTTCGCTTCCACTCAGCTCACACTGCTGGGGAGCTTCCCTGAGGACAAGAGCAAGCCAGCGGGCGAGGATCGCAGCGACATCTCGGGCTCCAACTCCGAGGTGTACCTAGATGTCACGTGCATCGAGAACGAGGTTCATTTCGACCGGTTTAAAGCGAGGCAGGAGGCCTTCAGGACCGCGTTCTCGGAGGTGCGGCGGCTATTCGAGGCCAAGTTCGGCATTGACGGTGCGCTCGCGTTCGACGTTTACGTCCATCTTCTGAAGGCGTTCGCTGCGAAGGTGCCTGGGAACAACCTGACCGGCTTCCAGGCGACATGCATCGGCTTGTTTGTATTGCAGATCGGATTTTTTAGATTGAAGGTGAGCCAGTCGATCGCGCTCTCCATGTTCGAGGGATTCCTGCGGTTCTGCAAGACGTTCTACGGGGACCCTTTGAACTCGGCGGGATGGCCTATGCCTGGGCCCTCGTACCGCCAGTGCGCCATCGACCTCTCGCAGGGGGGAAGGTTCATGCCCCGCCTGAGCGAGAACTGGAGGAGCGAGCTCTACTTCTTGAGTACAGAGGGCGAGATGGACGTGCGTGGAGACGAGCGCGTGAACGTAACGCACTCTTTGGATCCGCGGGTGGTGGCGGAGGAAGCCCAGAGCCTGCTGAACAGGGCCTTTGCGGGGCACCAGTTCGACGTCTGGCTCTAGGAAGCTCGAGGACTTGGGCTCAGAGCTTCATCCGCAGCACGTCCCGTTGTCGCCGAGGCGATTCCTGAACGACCGTGCTGTGCGGCTCCTCAGCGACCAGGCTGTGCGGTGCCTTATATTGTTTGGCCACGTTACCGGATTAGCGCGTGGCCTCGTTTTGACAGGGAAGATGGATTTGGGGTCTGGGAGTTGATCCAAACGGGGAGGAAGAGGGATGTTTTGCAGAGATGGCAGGGAGGAACGAGAACCGAGGCTCAGGTGCTCACTGTTTTTGTCGCGTCTCTGGAGGAGCGGCGGGAGATGTGCTCGGCACGCAAGGCGAAGCGTGCTGGAGCGCGGCCGAGTGGCACTCAGCAATTTCCTGCCCAAGCGGCGAGTGGCGCTCAGCGGCCAGGGCGTACGCGCGTCTCACCGGCTCGCCCGCGCGCTGTGCGCAGCAACTTCTGGCGGGGAGGGCCCTTCGCCAGCTCACGTGGTTACCCTCCGCCTTCCCCAGACGCCCTGGCGGTAGGGCGTCACGCTCGGTGTGAAGCCTTCTCCCTGCGCCCCATGGAAAGAGATAAAAGGGGTCTCTGCAGCTCGACCACTTCTCAGGAGAGGAAAAAACACACAGACACAATTAATCTTCGATTCCTCAGGAAATATGGGAAAATGTGGGGAGTGGGGGGGAAGACAATAACCGAGAAAATATGGGGAATCTTTTTATTTGTGTGTATTTAGTTGTGTGTCCCAGGGCCCCTTCGTTCATGCTCCACCTCCTCTTCGCGCGCGCTTCGCTGCGACCGCGTCTGAAGCGTCTGCCGGAGGTGTCCGCACTTTTGGTTTCTGGTCGGGCTTACAGAACGCGGCGGCGCGTGTAATTCTTGGCGCTTCGCGTATCCCCCCCCGCGTATCCCCACCAGTGTGGGTCAGCCTTCGGCGTCGTCGGCCTTCGTTTCCACTACGTGCAGCTGGCGTCCCAGGCTGGTACATTGTTGTCTGTTTGGGCAGTTGCTCGGAGCTTGGCACCGCAAGGGCGACTTACTCCGCAGCTTGCACCTCTGTGCGCTAGGTGCGTCCCAGTGAATGATGAGCATTTTGCTCAGTGCACGTGCATTGCACGCCTCGCGTGGAATTTGCCTGTTCCGCCGTCCCGGACACGCCTGTTGCCGCCAGACCATTGTCGCGCGGCCGCCGACCAAAAAAAATATATCCCCACCAGCCCATCCAGAAACGATGCTCATGAGAGTTGATGGGGGGGAGAGAGGAAGAGACACGCATAGTCAAACAGCGAGGGAGGCTTGGGAGGATCCGTGGCAGTTTCGAGCCGTCTTGGAGCGGTCGTGGGGCCGTCTGGAGCATCTTGGGAGACATCTTGAGCCAGCTTGGGCTATCTGAGCCATCTTGGATGTCATCTTGGGTTGTCTGAGGTTGCTCGGGCGCCTCTTGGATGCCTTTCGGGTGCCTCTTGGAGCCCTCTTGGGGCCTTTTGGGGCGCTCTTGGAGCCCTCTTGGGGGCCTCTTGGGAGTCCTGGAGGGCCTCTTGGGGCCATCTTGGAGGCGGTCGGTCAAAATAGGGGGTGTACTCGATTCCCCCCCCCTCGGAGGCCGCGATCCTCGTGAGGAGTGTCAAAAATTGGCCCTCCCAGGGGCCGAAGAAGGACTCTCTGACACATCGATCCCCCTCCCCAAAAAGCCTCAGGGAGAGGAGGGGAGGGGTTCCCCTCCCCGAGTGGAAGAGGGGTCGTGGAAGATGAGAGAGGCCCTCGTTAGACCACCTGTCGCCCAAAGGGCTGGTGGGATTCTCGTTCGGCGAGCCCCTTTGCCAGCTCCCCTCTCCCAGTAGTCTTCTGCTCATCTGTCTATAAATAGACATACACATATGCGCCCCACCCCCGCCCATCATTCTCGCCATGCTCCCATCTTCCATCCAATTCTTGGACAAACCGGTGCCCATGCTGAATTCACGGCGCACCACAGGGGGGGCGTCACGATGGCGGCAGTTATTGTTGTTTTTACGGTGTCTTGTACGTTCCCAACAAATTGTCGTCATCGTCTTTGTATTGTTCGTCGTTGTCGTCGTCCTCGTCCTCCTCCTCCACTGGCGCCAGCCTGCCACACCGAGGGAAAAGCAAGTGGGTGCTGCCGCAGCGCCCGGTGGCGAGCGCCAGCGCCCAGGGGTGAGCTCAGCGGCAGCGCCCGGCGGTGAGCGCAAGCGCCCACCGGGCGGTCGCCATCCGCAGAGAAAAGGAGCGTAGGAGAGGAACTCAGAGAGTGGACTCCTCCTCCTCCTCCTCCTCCTCCTCCTCCTCCTGCTCCTCCTCCTCCTCCTCCTCCTCGTCAAGCGGCCTGACCGTTGCGAGCCCCCCACGGGCAGCCTGGTGTCTTTGGGTCCTGGTTCGGAAGCGAGCGTGGCCCCAGCGAGGCATCAGGCTCGCTGGCCTCCTACGATGGGGTGGTGCAGCGACGGAGCCCGCTGCGCATGCAGAACAACGGTCGGGGCGTTGGGCCCCGCCCTGGCGGCGCCTCCTGCGCCGCCCCTGGCGCGCTCCGCGCTCCCGGGAGGGGGGGGGGGGGGGGGAGGCCAGGGGGGGGGAGGCCAGCGCAGGTCCAGGGCCTCCGAACGGGCCTCCGAAGCTTTCTGCTCGTGAAGCGCGGTCCTCTCCTGAGGGCGCTGCTGGTCCTCAGCACTGTGGCCACCGGGAGCCCGAGCGGAGAGCCCAGCGGCCAGCAGCCCCCGAGACAGGAGCGGAGGGGGGGGAAGATGAGGATGAGCAGCCTGTGTACGTGCCTTCTCTCGCTATCTGTGTTCTATGTGTCTCTTTCTCTCTCTCTCTCTCGCTCTGTTGTTTGTTTCTCTCTCTCTCTCTCTCTCTCTCTCTGTGCACAATGTATCGGAGGTTGGGGGGTGAGTCCGACGTGAAACGGAGACCCCACCTACCGGGAAATCGATCTCGGGTTCGGGTTCGTGTCGTGCGTGCCGTCCGTGCGTGCGGGCGAGGCGAAGCTGCGTGGGCGGGCGAGAGAAAATCCTCCTGTGGCTGGGCCGCGGCCAGACCAAATGTAACTCCTCCGGCGGCCGGTGCCCCGCGGTGTCCCGCCGATGTCCCGCGGGTGTCCCGCAGGTGTTCCGCCGGTGTCCGGTGGTGTCCTGTGGTGTCCCGTTGAGTGAGATCGATAGTAATATCGATCGATGTGGTGTCCCGTGGTGTCCTATGGTGTCCCGTTGAGTGAGATCGGTCGTGAAATCGATAGTGAGACTGATAGTGAGATCGAGAGATGTCCCGTGGTGTCCCGTGGTGGCCCGTGGTGTCCCGTGGTGTCCCGTTGAGTGAGATCGATAGTGAGATCGATAGTGAGATCGACAAGTGTCCCGTGGTGTCCCGTGGTGTCCCGTTGAGTGAGATCGATAGTGAGATCGATTGAGTCAGATGTTGGTTCCTCCCCCTTTCTTCACCCCCCACAACCTCCTGAATTATCACCCGAAGGGTGGTGGTATAGTTACTTCATAGAGGCGCACATGCGATATATCGGAGGTTGGGGGTTGAGATCGCAGTGGAACGGAGACCCCCAACCGGGAAATCGTTTCGTTACGTTCGTGTCGTGCGTGCGGGCGAAGCGAAGCTGCGGGGGCGCGCGAGAGGAATGAACCCGTCGTTGCTAGGGTGACGTCAAGACAAGTAATTCTCCCCCTTCCGCCCGTCTGGCGGTGGCCCGCGGTGTCCCGCGGTGTCCCGTGGTGTCCCGTGGTGTCCCGTGGTGTCCCGTGGTGTCCGCCGTTGCTAGGGCGAAGTCAAGACAAATGATTCTCCCCCTCCCGCCCGTACGGCGGTGGCTCGCGGTGTCCCGTGGTGTCCGTCCCGTGGTCCGTTGCTAGGGCGAAGTCGAGACAAATGATTCTGCCCCGCCCGCCCGTCCGTCCGTCCGTCCGGCGGTGGCTCGCGGTGTCCCGCGGTGTCCCGTGGTATCTTGTGGTGTCCCGTTGAGTGAGATCGATACTGAGATCGATACTGAGATCAATACTGAGATCAATGTGATACCCCGAGGTGTCCCGTGGTGTCCCGTTGAGTGAGATCGATAGTGAAATCGATACTGAGATCGACAGGTGTCCCGTGGTGTCCCGTGGTGTCCCGTTGAGTGAGATCGATAGTGAGATCGATCGTGAGATCGATACTGAGATCGTTGTGGTGCCCCGTGGTGTCCCGTTGTGTCCTATGGTGTCCCAAAAATTGAGATCGATTGTGAGATCAATAGTCAGATCGACAGGTGTGCCGTGGTGTCCCGTGGTGTCGTATGGTGTCCCGTTGAGTGAGATCGATAGTGAGATCGGTAGTGAGACCGATAGTGAGATCGAGAGGTGCCCCGCGGTGTCCCGTGGTGGCCCGTGGTGGCCCGTTGTGTCCCGTGGTGTCCCGTTGAGTGAGATCGATAGTGAGATCGATAGTGAGATCGATGCGGTGTCCCGAGGTGTCCCGTGGTGTCCCGTGGTGTCCTATGGTGTCCCGTTGAGTGAGATCGATAGTGAGATCGATAGTGAGACCGATAGTGGGATTGAGAGGTGCCCCGCGGTGTCCCGTGGTGTCCCGTGGTGGCCCGTGGTGTCCCGTGGTGTCCCGTTGAGTGAGATCGATAGTGAGATCGATAGTGAGATCGACAAGTGTCCCGTGGTGTCCCGTGGTGCCCTGTTGAGTGAGATTGCTAGTGAGATCGATTGAGTCAGATGTTGGTTCCCCCCCTCTCCCCCCCCACAACCCGTTTATCACCCGAAGCGTGGTCGTATAGGTACGAACATCGGAGGCGAGGGGGTGAGATCGCAGTCGGACGGAGAGATCCCCACCGTGAAATCGGTTTCGCTTTCGTTTTCGTGTCACGCGTGCGGGCGAGGCGAAGCTGCGTGGGCGCGCGAAGAGAATAATGCCGCCGTGGCCTGGGGGGCTGTGGAGCCGTTCGACCGCCCCGCCCCCGGGCGTGCGGTGGCCCGGGATGCCCTGCTGGTGGTGCGGGGGTGCCCCGCCGGTGGTACGGGGGTTCCCCACCAGTGACCAGTGGTGCGGGGGGTGCCCCGTCGGTGGTGCGGGGGCGCCCCGCGGGTGGTGCGGATGGTGTCCCGTCGGTGGCGCGATGGTGAGATCGATGGTGAGATCGATAGTGTGATCGATAGTGAAATCGATTGTGAGATCTGTCGTGAGATCGATACTGAGATCTGTCGTGCGATCTGTTGTCAGATCGATAGTGAGAACTGTTGTGAGATCGATGGTGAGACCGCTCGTGAGATCGATCCTTGGATCGGCAGTGTGAGATGGATACTGAGATCGATCGTGAGATCGATCGTGATGTGTATATCTATATATATACATATTGATTGTGAGACCGATCGTGTGATCGATGGCGAGATCGATTGTGAGATCGATAGAGAGACCGAGAGTGAGAACCGTTCAGAGATCTATAGTGAGTCCGAATGTGAGATCGATCGTGAGTTCGATTGTCAGATCGATAGTGAGGTCGATTGGGAGATCCCATGTGAGATCTATAGTGGCATCGGTTGTGAGATCGATGGTGCGTTCGATTGCATGATCGATAGTGAGATCGGTTGCATGATCGCTAGTGAGAGCTGATGTGAGATCGATCAGGAGATCGATAGTGAGATCGATTGATATCGCTAGAGAGATCGGTTGTGAGATCGATAGTGGGATTAGTTGTGGGATCGATAGTGAGATCGATGGTGCGATCGCTCATGAGATCTTTAGTGGGATTAGTTGTGATATCGATAGTGAAATCGATGACATCGATTGTGAGATTCTTCGTCAGACCGATACTGGATCGACTCTGAGATCGATCGTGAGACAGATAGTTAGAACAGTTGTGAGATCGATAATTCGTCCGGATGTGGGTTTGGTAGGGAGCTCGATTGTCACATCGATGGTGAGATCGATTGGGAGATCGAGTATGAGACTTGTTGTGAGATGGATCGTGAGATCGCGTCTTAGATCGCCAGTGAGTTCGATTGTAAATTCGATGGTGATATCGATTGCAAGATTGGAAGGGGGATCTGTTGTGAGATTGACAGTGACATCGGTTGTGAGGGCGATTGTGAGATCTGTTCGAGATCGAGAGTTTGATCGATGCGAGATCGATTGAATGAGACGTTGTTTCCGCCTCCTCCGCGAACCTCCACATCACCCGCAGGGTGGTCGTACAGGTACTGTCTTCGTCGTGTCTTCGTCCTCGCTCTGGCATGCGTCTATGCCCTGGCTCGCTCCCAGGCCTCCGAAGTCGTGCTTCTCTTCTTTACGCTGGCCCCGAGCGCTCGACGCCTCCCTGGAGACATGTTGCCCGTTCGAGATTGTTTTTCTAAATTGTCTCCAAGCCCGAAGCGGTCCCAAGAGACCGTCAAGTGCGAAGCAAGTCCGTCATGATTGCTTACGTCAGGCGGGCTCAAATTCCGCTCAAAAGTGGTCCACGGACTCGTCCTGAGGTCCAGCCTCGGCTGGCTTTTCGAGTTGCTTCGGACCGTCGCCACGGGGGATCCCTCCAGGAGGCCCCAAAAAGGCAAAACGCGTCTCCGTCCACCAACACTGTTGTCTTGGTCGCGTCTTTGGTTCTCGCTTCAGCAGCGTCGGTGCCCTGGCGCGTTTCCCAGACCTCAGGCGTCGCGCTCTTTCAACGCGTCGCCACCGATTTCTGGGCCCTTCCTTTGTGGGACCACTTCTTCGTCCCGGATCGGCTTCAATGGCCTTGAGGCGCGAGGACGGCCACCGAAGGCCGAGTATTGTGAGACGCTTGCGTTTTTGATTCGCCCAAGGCGGTGGAGGCCCGGGCCCCAGGCCTCGGAATCGTCCCCCACCGTCGCCTCTTCGGGTGCGTTTCGGCGAACATGTACTGCGCACCCACACTGCACTCACGAATGCACCGCTCATAACACTTTTTCAACGCCTGGCCTCTGGTGATTTTTTCTGCTTGCGCCACAGGATGGGAAATCATGTTTTCAAGGCTTGGTGCCCCTTCTGGGGGCTGCAGCCGTCTCTCGTCGTTCTGGGCGTGGGACGGGAGCACCCAACGACGCCCCCCACAGACAGATACCCCAGCAAAGCATCCTAACAGCAGCAAAGGTGAAGAGGCGGGTCGAGGAGTAGGTGGTCGGCGAGTGAAATCTTGACTTCCCGTGTGTTCCCACGGACTCCCAG